CTCATCAACCGTCCCGAAGTATTCAAGAAGCTCAGAGATGAAATTGAATCAGTGGTGGGGTTGAACAGACTGGTCAAAGAATCAGACGTTCCAAAACTCCCTTATTTGCAAGCAATCGTTAAAGAATCCTTGAGACTCCACCCTCCAGGACCCATAATGTTCAGAGAATGCATCGCAGATTGCAAGATCAAAGGTTTCGATGTAAAGGCTAGGACTAAAACCCTAGTAAGTTTATATGCCATCATGCGGGATCCAGATTCGTGGAATGATCCAGACGAATACTTACCAGAGAGATTTTTGAGTGAGAACAATATTGATGAACATAATGAGATGGAAATGAAGGGTCAGGATTTTCGTTACCTTCCATATGGTGGTGGAAGAAGAGGATGTTCAGGTGCTGCACATGCTCATTCAGTGATGCACACAACGATCGGAGCGTTAGTCCAGTGCTTTGATTGGAAAGTGAAGGGCGGTGAACAGATTGATATAATTGTTGGGTCTGGATTTGCAGGAGCAATGGCAGTTCCTCTTACTTGCTACCCTATTACACGTTTTAATCCCTTCAAATAATCATACCATGAAATGACAAAAATTATTGGAGCTTTTTAGTTAAAAGTGTTTCAAGCATGGTTACTCTTGACATAATAGTAAGAAATAAGGTTTCCAAGCTTTGAAGAATGACATTGAATTAGGGATTTGAATTATTATCGCTGTTTTTAATTAGTACTTGTCATGAAATTGCGTGTTGTTGGATTAACAAGCTTTAGGCTTCTTTGACTGATAAGGAGCTGACGAAGCCTTTCCAGCTGTGTTAGCCGTTTATTCAATCTAAAGAAACTTTTTTATTCAATATAATTACCATTGCTTTCTAATCATCTAGGGTACCTGTACTCCGCCGCTACGAGTACAGGTACTCCAGATACTGGTACTCCAAGCGGTGAGGGAACTGGTGAACCTATGGGAGAGGGAACTCAGTCGTAGATTTTTAGCTTGGTCAAATAATATTTATATGTAAGAGTAAACGACATGTTCCCACCCAAGGTTTGGCGAAATGGAAAGTGTTTACCCTTGTTTCATAAATTCAAAATTCTCATCCTTAAATTAACATAAAATCATTTAATGTAACAATTAAAGGGTAAAATAATTATTTACACTGCATTAAATTTGAAATGAAAATGAAAATTTCAAAATAACCCTCTACATCTCAGATTTTTCTCTCAAGCACTCTCTCTCTCAAACTACTTCTTCTCTTCCACTGCTTCTATCTACTCACTCAGCCACAACCTCCCATTTCTCTCCCTAACCAGCAGCCACATTCCTCTCTCCTTCCCTAACCCATAGTTACCATCGTCGTTGGTCATTTTTGACATTTTTCGATGCCCACCACAGCCCTCACCCCTCATTTCACCCTCCCTAGTCATCTAGCCCTCCGATTCAGCTACATTGATGCGGTCTCACCTAGTTCCAACCGCTGCCATCTTCACTCGAGCAACATCCCTCACACAGTCACATTGCGCGCACCTGTACATGATTCCAGTGCGCGACCTGTTGTGCCCCTTCTCCAGATCCGCACTCCTAGCTTCACGTCCGCAAGCAACCCTAGCGTGATTTGCATCGCCGCTGCCCTTGGAGTCACGCCTTTGTTGTGTGCGGTGCATTCGTGCGATTGAGTGGTTGTTGTGTTGTGGATTTGATTGTTGGTGATGAAGTTTGTTTAGATTGAAAGGAAATTTAGAGGGCTAGGTGGGTTTGGATTGAAGAGGGTATTGGTGAATGAATTTGAGATGTATAGGATTTTCCTGAAATATTATTGAAAGGAAATTTAGAGGGTTAGGTGGGTTTGGATTGAAGAAGGTATTGGTGAATGAATTTGAGATGTATAGGATTTTCCTGAAATATTATTAATTGGGCTGGATGGTGATAGTGGTTGGGTGGCGTTGGTGGCTGTGGTCCTAGTTAGTAAATACAGGTATGGCAAACAAAAGGGTACGTGAATTTTACGAGTATGATATGACAAAGTGTGAAAAATACGTTTGTAAAAATTCAGCCATAAAATCGAATACGGAAAAAATATGGTACAGGTATATACGGGTTTAATACGGAGCATTATCAATAATACGTTTTGAAAAATACGACAATATCAATCCTGATTTTAACACTTTTCATGGAGCACCTGGTTAAAATCAATACAGCATTTCAAATGCAAAATATTCAATTAACTAATAACAATTAGACCTAATAATATAACACAAATACACAATATATAACTGAGATTCAAATTATAGTCTCTAGACTTAAACACAATAAATAGCCATGATTCAATTATAGTGTCAAACCAAACACATAACAAAACCAAAATTCAAAGTCGAATTAGAGCTCCAAACAAATAAAATACACAAATAATACAACCAAGATTCAAATTATAGTTTATAACAAAAACTCACAAAGTACATAAACAACAATAACAACTCAAAAAAGAGCATCATCCAACCAAGAAACACCATCATTATCTATCAAGTCATCCATGTAACCCTCAACCGTTGGTGTAGAATTAGCATCTTCATCTATATGAATTTCTTCATATTCATAGTCTGGAAGCTCCCCCAATTTCTTAAGATCTATAGGTTCTAAGTCGTAACTTATCGTGGAAGTGAACTCATCCATCATCATCGTGTTCATCCTCACATACACAAGCGTGTCTAGCATTTCATGTGACAACCTATTCCTTTTTTTTGTTTGAGCAGCTTCAAAAGCACTTCAATTTCTCTCACATGATGAAGCGCTACAAGGTTGACTCAAAATTCGAATGGCATACTTCTTAAGCACAGGAAGATCATCCCCATTGTAATCCCACCATATTCCTACAAATGATATAAAAAGCTTTCTTAAATACAAAGAGAGAAGCAATGTATAAAAAAAATATACAAATTTTTTAAAAACTTACGAGGATGACTTGTTTGTAACATCGTTTTTGTCGTTGCAGTAAATAAAGTAGCTGGCCTACAATGATACAGCTGAACCTCTCTCATAAATGGATGCTTTTCTTCTATTAGAAGCAAGTTTTCATGAATGAAATTGATGCCATCTTTCATTTCCCTATCCTCTCTAAAATTTTGTGAGAAAAAGTAAGATGGATTGACAAAGGCAGCTGCAGCATGTATCGGATGAATGATGTTGTTGACATGGTGGTTCTTAAACAATTCCTAAATTCTCTCATACTTGCTTGCCTCACTATTACATCTTTCCTTAATTGCAACTTTTGCTCTCATCATTGCTTCATATAAGTAACCAGTAGTAGATCCATCACCATCAACCAAACGAAGAACTCGAACCAATGACTCAATAGTTTTTATAACCTCTCTTCCTCTAGCTCAAAAATCACTCTGAATAATTTCAGTATCCCTTTTACTTGATTCGGTCTTACAATAATCAAAACCCCTCCATTCAGATGAAGCAACAAAGAGTCGAAGTTTATTCTCCAAATCCAACACAGATTGAAGCATTGAAAAATTTGAAACAAATCTTATGGCACAAGGTTGTCTCAATTGTCTATCTTTGGTGTACTCTTTCATTACTACATGAAGAACCATGTACCATGTCATGAACATAACTATTATTCTTGCTTCATCTATGACAACTTTTACCTAATTAACTTCTTCATATATGTCTTTCAAAAGAAGCTGAATTCCATGAGTAGCACACCTTATCTTATACATTTAAGGATACAATCCAATGAGCATGTCACTAGCAGATGTGAAATTGCTATTATTATCAGTTATGAATTGCACAACATGTTCTTATCCAATTGATTCAATCACAGAAACAACAATTTCTTTTAAATAAATCCTAGTTTTTCTTTCCCGAGAACCATCCAATGATTTTAAAAAAATTGCACCGCCAGGTGAATATGCCACAAGATTAATGAAAGATCGGTGCCTAATATCAGTCCATATATCAGACATTATAGTGCAACCAGATCCAGATGTATCCCAAGAACGCTTCACCATAGAAACATACTCATCAACACCTTTTCTAGATTCTGGAATTAACTTAGCTCGAAGAGTTGAGTAAGATGGAAGCTTTTATGTTGCACCATATTCAGCCACTACCTTAACAAATTCTCCAAACGCACTGGTTTGAACAACATTAAAAGCAATATTGTTCACCACAAAACACTTAGAGCAAGCATTTTATCAACAAACTCCCTGTTTTTTTTATTCATTTCTAGTAAAGATGCTTGATTTTGACGTCTTTGGCTACCTTTAGAAAGTGGTGAAAATGGTGAATCTGTTTCCTCCTCATGATCATTAGAGTTTAAAGCAGTAGAAGAATTGGCAGAGCTTTTTAATTTTTTGTTACTTCCACTTCCAGACATGGCCAAGAATGCACTTGCTTGTGTCTCATGATTGACTTTATTACAAATCTCAACATCATGGCAAGTAATTCCCAACAAGTGTGCTTTAATTCTATAAGCCCCACCACTAAATACTTTTTGATAGAATTTACATTTCCATTTATTCCCTTGGAGCTCCTTAACATGCTCCCAAATTTTATCTTTTTTTCGTACCATATTGATTTGAGTCTGCATTTACAAGAACATAAAAGAGAACCACAAGTAAATAAAAGGGTAGTGATATGGATCAATTTGTTTAAAATAAGAGTAGCATTTGCATCAATCAATTTGTTTAAATTTAATGTAAATAGTACATATTTAACTAATAAGTTAAAATGAAGTTACTGTAAATTAAGGTGGTTTTAACTTTTAATTAAGATCTATTACAACATATATAACCGACACTGCTGCATAGAAGCTAGAAAGCAAGAGATCAAGTCATGGCTGCTTTAGGAATCACCAGTGGTTCTTATCAAGATTTGACCTTAACCACATTTTGACATTAAATCATTCAAGTTTTTGTCGTAAATCTTCAGATAATTGTAAGTCACTTTCTACAACTACCGATATTAAACCATCAAGATTGTTATTACTGAATGAGAAATCAATGAAATGGAAGCAAACCCCAAAGTTTTCCTTAAAAAATTCAGTTCAGTGCCGAGCACTTGAAATTGAGAATAAACCATTTACCATAGGAAAGAAGTTTCAATTGGGTGATGTGATTGAAGCTCAACAGTTTGATAGGGATACTCTTAGTGCTATATTTGACGTTGCACATGAAATGGAGAAGATTGAGAAGAATTCACCTAGAAGCCAAATACTTAAGGGTTACTTAATGGCTACTCTGTTTTATGAGCCCTCTACTAGAACTAGGCTTTCATTTGAGTCTGCTATTAATTGGTTAGATGAAAAACTCAAGATATTGAACAAGCCCTATGTTAAAAGTATCAAGGTATTTAGTCACTTCTACTATAGCTAGATATTAATATAATTCCAATTCCTATAATTGAATTCCTTATTACGAGATTTAAGTTTTATAAAATTAGTTTGATCTAAGATTCAGACTAATTTTTATCATTTACTAGACTGAAGAAGGTGATATTATCGACTGCGTCAACATTAATAAACAACCAACTTTTGATCATCCTTTGCTGAAAAATCATAACATCTAGGTTAGATCATTTCATGTTAATTACTCAATTTGGAATCTCTCTTCTTTCTTTTTTTTTTCAATTTCAGTTTCACTCTTTGCAATGTGTTGTAGTAATTTCAATCTCACAAGCATTTCATCAAACATGTTTCAAACAAATTCATCAATCCACCAATATAACAAATCCATCAGCCCCCCTACTACTACTACTCACACACCAACACAAATACAAGCAATGAACCAACATAAGAGATTCAAAGAAAAGAGAAGAAGTGTGTACCTTGAAGTCTTACTCTTGGGCTTGAAGCTTGGAAAAGAGAGTTAAACAAAAAGACTAAAGAGAAGAGAAGAAGAGATCAAGATTTAAGAGATGAAGAAAGCTAGAAAAGAAGAGCTGAAGAAGAGCTGAACTACCAAAGACTTCAAAGAGAAGAGAATTGCCAAAGATGTCAAAGAACCAAGGATGAAGATGAGAAAAGAGAGTTTGAGTAATTTGAGTCAAACCCACCCCAAAACGACGTCGTTTTGGGGTGTTCAATTAATTTTTTTTCAAAAATTCGTGAATAATACGCGAATAATTCGCGAATTATACGGCTAGTCCAATTATACAAGAATAATTTGGCGACCCCTTATAAAATATGTTTATACGCGTTTTATACGCATGTTTACTAACTAAGGTTGTGGCTAGGTGGTGGTGGCAACAGTGACAATGGCTAGGTGGTGGTGGCAACAGTGACAATGGCTAGGTGGTTAGAGATGGGGATGATGTGAAGGTTGGAGAAGAGGGTGTTATTGAAATAAATTTGAAAGTAAGATGGTTATTTTTCTTTTCTATTAATTGGGGGGTTAAAAAATAGTTTATTAATTTTCTTTGTCAAGGGCAATATGGTAATAACACTTTCTATACATGTGTCAAAATCTACAAATCACTAACATATTGGTTAAGGGTAGGAATCTAGAACTCATGAAACTAGGGGTGGAAGCTTGCCATTTAGCCAAACCTTGGGTGGGAACATGTCGTTTACTCTTATATGTATAAGCGTGTTTGTAAGCTCTTGGTCTTGGACAATTTTAATGTATTTAATCGTACTTTGATTTATTGTATCATCGTACTAGTTTGTAATTTTGCTACTTGAATTTTGCTACTTGATTTAAGTTACTTCGTAATTGTATATTTTTTAAAAATTTTATGCATATTTCCCCTTTCTACATAGTCTTTTACTTTTCTTTATTATTCTATCTAATTTTGATTAAAAATCTAAAAGATACAATAACTGGCAATTTAATTAATGTTATATATTAAGAAGAGATGATCTACATTAACCACAATGACGTTGATATGTGCTTAATAGTTCTATGTTATTCCATCGTAATACATATATAGGAATTAGAAAACCATAAATCTAATGAAAATGTAACTATAATTGTATTATAACATATGAAACATAGCATTTAGATGAATTAAATGCTACTACACTCAGTTAATTTTTCTCAATTGTTATTGTTTTTACATTTCTTAGATTCCTAATATTATCTATAAGCTCCAAGCTTCGACTGTTTAACGAACCGAGCCGCTCGCGAGCCGGCTCGACTCGGCTCGGCTTGAGTCCAGCTATAACAACTCGACTCAGCTGAAATTGAGCTAACTTGGTTCAATTCATGAGAATGAACGAGTCGAGTTCGAGCCTGACTGGGCTCGGCTCGGCTCGTTAGGCTGCGAGCTAAGCATAGCTTGAATAAGTAGGGGCTTTTTAGGGGTTTTCTAAAGCATGGGGGATTAAACTAAGATTTTCAAAACAAAAGGTTTACAAAAATGACAAAGACCCCCCAGATTTTAAAAGCCCTAAAGATGTCGACTCCAACACTTTGTTGTAAAACCAAACCAAACCCAACAATTTCAGCAAAGTTTTTAGCCGCCTCCGGTATGTTTCTTCGTCGTCATTAAACCCATCTACTTCGCCGAAGTGTTGTCGCAGACTCGCCACCGTCAAAGCCATCTACCCCTTCAAATCTCGCCGACACTTAGCTGCAGCTTGTTTTCCTTTTGTCTTGTCATTGTGAAACCCATCTGCTTCGCCGTTGACCATCTCTGATATATAAATTACAAGAGGTTTCATGACGTTTTAGTTGTTGGGGCTGATTCTCTTTCTCAATTTACTGATTGGATAGATAACAGAATCTGCATTCTTTTTAGAGACGATGCTGGTGTTGTATTGTTACAAATAATAATTTTTCCTTTCCTTTATACAAGGTGACACAGACAGTCCTTTGGTTGTTTGATTGTGATGCTATTTGAAAACTAAATATGATTTGATAAAGAAATTTCAAATGTTCAATTTTTTCTTTTTTTGGGTGTCAAAAAAGAGTAGGTGTAATTGCATTTTGCTATATTATATGAAAACTAGTCATTTCGATTTAGTCATGTCCTATATCTGTTGGATTATTCAGTTTTTGTATATAGTTGTATTGTTACTGCTGTTGTTAAAGTAGCTAAAGTGTAATTAATTAGTTTTTTAGAGTAGTTAGTTAGTTGACTGAATTAGTTAGTTTTCTAGAGTAATTAGTTAGTTGAGTGAACTATAGTTAACCAATTAACTATAGTTAACTGAATGTAATAAATTGGTGTATAGTACTCAATTTTTCACTTGAGCTGAATAAGAAACTTTACTCTTCTTTTTTGAAACCTCCTCTTTGATCAAAATGGAACATGGTATCAGAGTTGTTCATCAAGCTGCGAAATCACCATCTCTTTTCAAGAATTTAGCTAATGTTGAAAGGAGAGATCGTATAGTTGAGGATTGGTTTTTAATTCAACAATTGCTCAAGTTAGGTTACTCTTCTACAAATCAATCGAAGATTCGACGATTGCTTAATTCAAGTAAGTTCTCTGTAAATTGTTTAAAGAAGTGATTTAGAGCAAGCAAAATGGCGACAGATTCAAGCCCGCCTCTTTACATCCTAACAACTCATTGGAATGGAGAACTTTAGAATATGGAGTAGAGCTATGATTGTGTCTTTAAGAGCGAAGAATAAGCTAGGATTTGTGGATGGTTCTTGTGAGAAATCTATCTTCAATCAAGCGTTACATGCACAATAGGAGCGATGTAACTCCTTAGTGTTAGCATGAATTTTTAACACGGTCTCGAAGGATATATTCAATAGTATTGTGTATTAGAGTAGTGCGCATCAAGTGTGGTAGGATCTAAAGGAACAGTATAACAAAGTTAATGGTACATGAGTTTTTGGAATTCACAGAGAAATTATGAATTTGGTGCAAGGAACCAACTCGATTGCATACAACAAACTCAAAACCTTATGGGATGAATTAAGCTCGTTAGTTAGTCTACCAACACCAGACAGTGAATCAGCTAAAGCTTATTTAGCACATTTGAATCAGCAGAAGCTACTGCAGTTCTTGGTTGGGCTAAATGACTCATACAGTTTAGTAAGAAGTCAAATTTTGCTGATGGCTCCTCTACCCTCGGTGAAACAGGCATACTCAATAGTTAGTCAAGATGAGAGTCAAAAGATCCTCACTGGTTTCAATTGTAGCATAGAAGTCACTACTGCGTTATACTCGCAGGGAAACCAGAAGAATCAAACTCAGAACACAAAATATAAGGGAAAAAAAACCTTATATTGAGTGTGATTATTGTCATGCTCCATGACACAAGAAGGAAAATTTTTATAAGCTACACGGATATCTAGTTGATTTTCAATTCACCAGAGGAAAATCGGGGACAAAGGCTAAGGCTAATCAAGCCCAATCTAACCAGGAATCTGTTCCACAAACTCAAACCGTGAATCTAGAATCTGGAGCTAATCTTGGAAATGTGCTGACACTAGAACAATATGCACAGTTGTTACAATTGTTGGGCAAAAAGAACATCTTGACACCATCTGCAAACTTAGCAGGTAAAACCATCTATTTATACTCCAGTTTTAATAATGAGGATTGAATATTAGATTCAGGGGCCATAGATCACATGACCCGTAATTTTCAAAGTCTTGAATTCACTGTTGCTAGCCAATCACCCATAGTAAACTATGTAGGACTTCTTAATGGCACAAAAACCCCTATTAAACATGTTGGTTCAGTGAAATTGCAAGAAAACTTGTGTCTTGATAAAGTTTTTTTCTTACCAAATTTTAAATACAATCTACTGTCAGTGTCTAAATTGACTTCATTAGGTAGATGTTTTGTTACATTTTATCCTGATTTTTGGGTTATTCAAGATCTATGGAGTGGCAACCTGAAGAGGATTGGTAAGCAATGCCAAGGGTTATACCATTTTGTTCCTAGTTCACAAATAAAATTGTATAGTTCTATTTTAGGAATAAAGGAAGCTGCTTGTAAGCATTCTATTTTAGGAATAAAGGAAGTTGCTTGTAAGCATTCTTCTGATTTAGGACTTGAAACAATTGTTAGTAAACAATCAAATGTACCTACTGGTTCTTTAATAAAGAACCCCTATTTGTCATCAGCTTTATCTACTGCCTTGCATATTAAAGATATTGCCCTTTGGCACAAAAGATTAGGACATGCACCACTTTCAGTTCTCAAAATGATAAAACAACATGATTTCCACTGTGATGTTTGCCCTTTAGCTAAACAAACTAGGCTGCCCTTTGTATCAAGTGATACAAGTTCCCTACATGTTTTTGAGTTACTGCATTTAGATGTTTGGGGGCCCTATAGGATACCTACACAAGGAAATGTCAGGTTTTTCCTTACTGTAGTGGATGATTTCTCTAGGATTACCTGGCTATTTTTGATGTAGTATAAGTCAAATGTTTTCCAAACATTAAAAGACTTTATTCACATGATCCAAACTCAATTCAACCAAACACCTAAATGTATAAGGTCTAACAATGGGTCAGAATTCTTTAATCATCAATGTCAAGAGTTGTTAGCTAGTTTAGGAATCATATACCAAAGTACCTATGTATACACTCCACAACAGAATAGAGTGGTAGAGAGAAAGCATAGACAAATACTAAACATAGCTAGAGCTTTTAAATTTCAGTCTAGTATCCCAAATTATTTGTGGGGTTATACTGTCAAGGCTTCCGTGTACATCATTAATAGGTTACCTACAAAAGTCTTAGATAGGATCTATCACCATATGAAAAATTCTATGGAACTACACCTAAATTGAATCATTTAAGGGTCTTTGGCTGCTTGGCATATGTTACCAATTTGACTCTTCATGATAAGTTTGCTCCAAGATCCACACCTTGTGTTTTCCTTGGTTATTCTCCCATAAAAATGGGATATATCTTATACGATTTACACACTAAATCCATCTACATTAATAGAGATGTAGTCTTCCATGAGCACATCTTTCCTTTCACTTGGCATCCTTCTAACAAACCTATTTTCTTGGATTCCTTTATGGCATAAGATTTTGATAATTCTGATCCTATTTTAAATACCTATCCTAACAATGCAATTATCTTGCAAGACACAGAACCAACATATTTTTTGCCATCATCCCATCCTGATGTATTACCTTCACATAATGATGTTGTCACTGATTCATCTGCTCAACTTAGAAGATCCAATAGGACAACTAGACCACCTATTTGGACGACAGATTTTGTTTGTCCAACTTTACCTCAGTCCAATTTGACAGTTGCCACTCCATATCCTATACACAACTATATATCTTATAAACACTTGTCCCCCACTTACCAAAAATGTCTATCTAGTATTTCAGCTCTTACAGAACCTATTTCCTTCACCCATGCATCCAAAGATCCCCAATGGATTGTTGTAATGCAACAGGAAATTCAGGCTTTGGAAAGAAATGGAACTTGGTCCTTAGTTCCCCTGCCTCTTGGAAAAGTACTAATCGGTTGTAAATGGGTATATAAATTGAAGTATAAGGTAGATGACTGATAATCCGTGGATTATACAATTTTCATTAGTCTTTTTTATTCGGATTTCAGGTACTTTTTGGTGCATTTTGACCTGAATTGATGTTTAATTCTTTACATTTTGTATTTCAGGTTAAAATGGACAATTTAAGCAAATAAAGACAAAATTGGAAGTTTTTGACTCAAAAGTTAGCGGATCTCAGAAGTTAGGAGAGTTCTGAAGCAGGATAAAGCACGATGAGGCTTGTTCTAAAGGGAGAGCACCAAGAATCGAAGAAGAAAACAAAGAAGCAAGCAGAGTGGTAGTTCTGTAAATTCAGAACCTTTCAAGTAACTTCGCCCCGACGAAGATTTCTTCTTCGCCGCAGCGAAGTGAGCCAGTCACGAGCAAGATCTGCTTCTCTCTTCGCCGCGGCGAAGAAGAATTCTTCGCCGCGGCGACAGTCATTAATTTCAGTTTTGTTAAATGCACAGTTTTACTTTGTGCGTGTTTTTGGCTGGGTAATAGGGCGAGGTATAAAAGAAACACTTAGCCATTTTGTCCAGGAGTCTTCGTTTTTAGGTTAAACAGCTTTTACATTTTTCTTGGATTAAACTTTGAGCGATTTGGATTGTAAGAAGGGTGAAGATTCGATTCTAACTAAGGGATTCATCTTTTGGGAAAATTTCTTATCTTTTATTTCAGTTTCATTATGTTGAACTTGATTATTTTCGTTTTTCGTTTTTGTATTGTTGATTTAGCTATGAACTAACCTATTTTGGGTTAGGGTTTTGATTGTAGTTTGGATTTTAATGGGTTAAGTGTTTGATTGTTTATTTTTCATATGAGTATGCTTTGGTTGTGTGTTTACTCTGAGTTTTATTGTTATAAGTGATGAATATGATGAGATTGAGAAATGAATCATGTTAGGCTTTTTGGGTAATCACCATTATAGTATTGGATGCTAGAGATAGATTCAAGAATTAATGAAATCATTGTAGGATTCTTTTGCTTAATGAGTTTGGAATTGTTAACCTTCATTTTGTTGGGTGTGGAAGGTTAATAAGGATGAATAGTAAAACATAGCCCGAGAGGGTATGTTTAACACCTTAGTGAATTTGATTTACAACCATTGCGTATGAATATGAATATAGTGAAATTTTAGGTTTAACCCATAAAATCCGAATGAAGTCAAAACCCCACCCGTTTTAATTGAATTGATTATTCAGTGTTTTTAATCTTGCATTCTTAGTTAAATTTTAGTTTAAACGCGTCTTGTTCAGTTTAATTAGAATTAGCTCCCATCAATCCAAAGAAGTCGATTGCTTCAACTAGATAACATTAGGGAACTTAGTGCTTAGCTAACAATCCTCGTGGGAACGATACTCTACTCATCATTTTATTACTTGTGCGATTAGTATACTTGCTACATATTGCATGTTGTAGGAAATACGCATCAATGACACTCTAGAAAGGTATAAGGCAAGACTAGTTGCCAAGAGCTTTAGACAACAAGCTAGGATTGACTATGAGGAGACTTTTTCTCCTGTGGTTAAGATTGGTTCTGTTAGGCTTGTGTTGGCTATTGCTTCCATGGAAAATTGGCCACTTTATCACATGGATGTTAACAATGCATTTCTTCAAGGAGATCTACAAAAGGAAATATACATGCACCTACCTCAAGGATTTCTTAAATAATATGATACCTCTTTGGTTTAGGCGCTACACAAGTCTTTGTATGGCTTGAAGCAAGCCTCTAGAGCTTGGAATACCAAGCTCATTACTGCCTTAATGAAATGAGGATTTCAACAATCACCATCAGATTATTCCTTCTTCTTTAAGAAGGTTACTGGTCATATTGTCATTTTACCCATTTATGTTGATGATTTAGTCCTTACTGGTAGTGATTCTTCACTTATCCAAGCTACTAAAGATCTATTGCATTCCCATTTTAAGTTGGAAGATTTGGGTGCTCTTAGATATTTTTTAGGATTTGAGGTTGCAAGATCTTCTAAGGGGATTAGCTTATGTCAAAGGAAATATGCTTTGGAGTTAATTGCTAAGTCAGGATTGGCTGCTGCCAATCCTTCTTTGGTTCCACTTGATCCAATCTCAAATTCACTACTATAGCATATGATGAGCAATTTCCTAGTCTATAGGATTCCGTCTTGCCAGATCCATCAATATACCAAAAGCTTACTGGTAAGTTGCTTTATTTATGTTTGACCAGACTTGACCTTAGTTTTGTAGTGAATCTTCTCAGTCAGTTTATGCATCAGCCTAAGGAGTCTCATCTTCAGGCTGCTCTAAAGGTTGTAAGGTATGTCAAACACTCTCCTGGTTTGGGTTTATTCTTTCCTGCTCATGGTTCACTTCAGCTACCGGCCTTTTGTGATTCGGATTGGGCTTCATGCCTTATGACTCGTAAATCTATTACTGGATTCTATATTTTTTTGGGAAGTTCCTTGTTGTCATGGATATCAAAAAGGTAGGCTACTGTTTCTCTATCCTCTTCTAAAGCAGAATATCGAGCTATGGTTACCACTGTTTGTGAAATTATTTGGTTGACACAGCTTTTGAATGACCTAGCTCTTCCACTTCAACTACCAATTCCACTCTGCTGTGATAAAAAATCTGCCATTCTTATTGCTTACAATCTGATATTTCATGAGCGTACGAAACATATTGATATTGATTACCACATTGTGCGTACTAAGATCAAAGAAGGGTTGATTGTTCCTACTCATGTTTTTACTCTGGATCTGTTTACTAAGGCTCTTTCTGGCCTTGTTCATCGACATTTACTATCCAAGTTGGGAGTGATTGACATTCATCACCCACCAACTTGAGGGGGGGTGTAGGATTATTCTGTTTTTGCATATAGTTGTATTGTTACTATTGCTATTAAAGTTGTTAAAGTGTAATTCGTTAGTTTGTTAGAGTAGTTAGTTAGTTGACTGAATTAGTTAGTTTGTAAGAGTAATTAGTTAGTTGACTGAACTATAGTTAACCAATTAACTATAATTAACTGAATGTAATAAATTGGTTTATAGTACTCGATTTTTCACTTGAGCTGAATAAGAAACTTTACTCTTCTTCTTTGAAACCTCCTGTCTGATTAAAATAGAACAGTATCCAGAAATTTGGGATTCGATGAATGTAATTCTTGGAGGCTTATAGCAACACAACACTCATTACCAAAGTCATAAAACTTGGGATAATATTACCTGCGGCAAACTAAGAGGACAGTCAGCTCCATGACTAAATCTGCTTAGACATTTTCACTCTTCTACATTCAGTGGTTTGAACCAAATTCTGATGGAAGAAAAGCAAGAAGTTTGTTATATCATTTTCAACGCTTTTATTTTTTAATTTCTTAAGCTGTCAGTAAAATTAATAAAGCTATTAAGTGTTGTCTTGTTTGTGTTACCTTATATGAGTATTGGCTAAGAATTTATTAATTGGAAACTGTTTTTTTTTTTTCTTAATAAAACTTCATTCTAGTTGCAATTCAATAAAAAAAAAAAAAAAAAACTGCATTTTTTTTCTGGCTCGCAACCGGGTCGAACTCGACTCATTAAGCCAGCTCGTGAGCCAGGCTCAAATTACCCCTCTCCCTTCAACAAACCAAGCCAAGCCAAGCCAGGAAATCAACGGCTCAGCTTGGACTCATTTCCCCCTCCTTTTTCACGAGCCGAGCTCGTTAAGCCAAAAACTCGGCTCGAAAACAGGCTTACTCCTACCAATTGTTGTCACTATCGCCATGTTTTGCACTCTTATATCTATTCTAAATAGTCAGATTTCTGCTTCTATATACTGTTAAAAGAAATGAAAAAGTTACTTAAAATATATTTTATATTAAATTTTCCTTTATTTATAAAAAGAGTTAATGAGTTAATCCCCTTGATGTATGATATAATAACAAAAATTCTCTTAAGGTTTTAAAAATAACAAAAATTTCCATGTAGCTAAGTTTTAGGTGTTATAATAAATAGTAGGAGGAAAATTAGGTAATATTTACTAACTTATAACAGTGTAAATTTTAATGATTCACTAACAGTCCATTAACAGTAGGAGTATTTATGGGTGCATTTGTTTTAGTATTTGGGATAGAATTTTTGATATTTTTAGAGTTGGGAGGGAATAACGAGGTAGGATTTAAAAATTAACAAAAACTCCCCCTAGGTTTGGTAATTTACTAAACACCCTTGTAATAAAAATATTAAAAATTACAAAACACCCTTGTAATAAAAACATTAAAAATTACAAAACACCCTTACCCACCCATTAGATACTGGTAGCCAGTCACCACTGCCGGAGGGTGGCCAGAGTTGCCGTATCGGTGCACGACCGACTGGATTTGGCCGGTTGTGCGCTAAGATGGCATTTTCTAGTCAGATCCACAGTGGATCTAGTCGTCGACTGCCAAATCTAGCCATGTTTGGTCGTCAACGACAACCGAAGATATGGCTATCGTTGATGGTCAACGACGACCAAAGATATGGCTATAGTTGATGGTCAACGACGGCCATATCTTGGTCGTCATTGAAGACCAACTACGGCCAAAGATCTGGCCTTTTCTGGCCATATCGACGGTGGATCTGGCCGCTAAATGATAGATCAGTGCACTACCGGCTAGATCTAGCTGGTAGTGCGCCATTATACCAGATTCTGGCCACTTTCCGATGGTGATAGCAGGAATCTGGCAAACGTGGGTGGGTGGGGGTTTTTTTGTCAATTTCTAAACTTTTTTGGGGGGTTTTTAGTTAAATTAATAAGCTTAAGGGGTTTAAAAATGGTTGAATAAAATATAATAGTATTTTTAGAATAGGGAAACAAATGTGTATTTTGGAAATAGTATTAATAGATATGTTATTTCTAAAATCTCAAGGAGTTTTTTGTTATTATATCATACCACAGGGGTTAGTGTTATTCTTTATAAAATAATATAGTAATTTCGCATGGTAAATGACATAGTTGTTGATTTACATGCCAACCACATTAATGGGAGAATGAAGTTATATGCACATAGTTATACAAAATTAGAACGTATTGTGTGAAGGGAATTGCTAAAAGAAAAATAACAGTCAGGACGAGTCAATCCCTAGGCAACTCCCTAGTGTCACAAGCTGGGAGTTTCACACTCAAAAGGTTAACCTATAAGGTGGAGGGACTCCCCCAGGACCTCCCCAATACACTTCTGATATGGTATTCGTTACATTCTCCCCCACCCAATCCTGTGACACCCTCGTCACAGGTGGGGCCCCCTACCTCCAGATCACTCTCGTGTGGACCCACAATCACACTTGGACGTCCCTGCGTAGACGCTTGGTGGGACATCGAAAGACGAATCGAGTCTGCTCTGATACCACTTGTCACGGACTGGGAGTTTCATACCCAAAAGGCTAACCTATTAGGTAGAGGGACTCCCCCAAGACCTCTCCAATATGCTTCCGATATGGTATTCGTTACACTAGGGCCCAATAATAGTGATAGAGGTAGGCAAGGCCTAGGCCCTCAAGGTCCAGTCCCAAATTGGGACTGATCCTTAAAGGATCAGGCCCAAATCCTCAAGGACTGCTCCTAGGCCCATGAGTTTTCTTAGGGCTTAGACCAGTCTTAGGACCGATCCTATGGCCTAGAATTTTTTTTTTAATTGTTTTTTGTAAAATTACATTTTAACCTCTAAATTTATTATATATTTCATATATTATAAGGGGTTTTGAATATTTGTCAGGGGGTTTTAAAAATTAATGAGGTCCTAAGCCTGGCCCTGGAGGAGGGACGGGCTTGGGCATGGTCCCTCCCTTGGGTTTTGTCTTGTCCCAAGACCGGTCTTAGGACCGGGTTTTGGGCCCGGGCCCTTTGGGCCTAGGCTTTTTTCCCACCTCTAAGTAGTGAAGGCCCCAATATTAAGATTTATCCATAAATTTGTCTTTATTAATAAAAAAACAATATAGTTAAGTTATTGTATTCCTTGACAAATTTAATGTATTAGAGAAATATTTAGCCCAAGTCGGAGGTGTGAATTACCAACTAGTCCCAAAGTGAAAAGTATTCACAAATTAGCCTAAACCAATTTTCCAATTTTTCAAAGACAAAATTGCCCCCCCATACAAAGGCTTCATTCAACCAAGTCACCTTCCTAACCCTTCCTAACGCTAATACTCTCTGCCTCATCTCTAAAATCATTTGACTTGCTTACAACTTCACTAGATTTTAATTGGAATTCATCAAATAAGGGATGTTGGCCTTCTAGTCAAGTGACGGACATCATGGCATTGGTTGATTTAGCAAATGTCAATTGATTTACGATGATTTATGATACCCATCAAGACATATAGTAGAAATGATCGACAATGAATAACCAGAACCGATAGTGACCAACAGTGATCGATAGTGACTAATACCCTTGTCGGTTAAATATCATTTTTAACCTTAGGACCCATTTTTTATTGATCTGACCCAAATGATCAACACTCATACCTAAATTTCATGAAAAACCACTCAAATTCATTCATTTTCATCACGCTCAGTCAGACATAAATTAAAACAATATACAAAAACAATCACCTAACCAAAAATACTTTTTTTTTTTTTTTTTTTGTTTTTTTTACATCTTTCCCGAACATAAATTGACAGTTAAAGAATGAAATGTTTTCAAGTTTCAAACATAACATATTCTCTCTTGTGGCGCT